CTGGTTAGATGTGAGGAATTCTATTTTGCCATAATTCCACATCTACCTTACTGATTCAAGAAGGTAGGGGTGAAGAATTATTACTGCAGCCAGAGGGAGCACAAATTGTGGGATCCTGTAGGGGCCATCTTTTCTCCCAAGCTTTTTTTGAACATACTGGAAATGTTTTCTCCTTTCCGTTTCCATCTTAACAGAAGGAGGAGAAGAGATTGGATTTATACTCCGCCCTTCACTCAGAGTCTCAGAGTGGTTGGAGAGTGCGGTCTCAATTCTCAACTGGGAACGATGTGCACGAGGCCGACGTGGAACCATTTCCTCAACTTCAAGTGGTGAGGCCGAAATTGGTCCGGAATCGACAGAAGCCTCCAGATACCGGGGGGTTCAGGTGCCGGATTGGCGAGTCCAGTAACTCAATCGTAGGCAGCTCCGGTATTGGGGTATCAACGATGTTGGGTTGCGCCCACTGGAAAGGGGGTAATGAATGCAGAGCCCGATTGCACATTATCGCTGCTCACTTTCTGAGACTGACGCATAGTGCCAGTGAGATAAGACTTGGGTTTCTCGTGCTTCTCCTTTTTCTTCTTTTTAGCCAGCATAGAGGCGGATGAGGCCTCCTTCGATGTGGGGGTTTTGATGCTGAGGTGCCTCCTGATGTCAACTTGGTCGCCGTCGATAGGGAGAGTGCAGGAGTCTCGGCCGACATATTTCCCACAGGCACAGGGGACAATGCCAATTCCCAAAGTGCTACTTGAAGTCTCACGGCTCTGTTCTTGTGAGTTTGGTTCAAGAACGTCGCACAATGGCGGCAAGCGTCTGGGCAATGAGTCTCCCCAAGGCAAATAATGCAGTGTGTGTGGCCGTCCCGAGGGGCAAGTTTACTGCCACAGCCAACACACAATTTAAAACAACCCCCTCTTTTGGCCATAAAAGAATAAAAAGGCCCAAAAGACAAGAAAAAAGTCCTTCGCTGTGGTGAGGAAATTTTTACCTCAGGAAGGGGGGGGAGAGGGGCGGGAAGCCGCCTGAGGCAGTGGCAACCCTCAACAAAAAGTCTTTTTTTAAAAAGATAAGAAGAAGAAATAAAATAAATGCTGGAAGCGAAGAAAAAATAGGTTTGGAGTATCCCTCGTGAGAGGAAAAAACATTTCTTCACCGACCGGCAGAGAGAAGCTGTTAATAGTGCGGCGGTCAGAAGAGAACTGGCGGGATGTCCATGCCCCTCCTCCTTGGACATGCGCAGTGGGGTTCCTGCGCATGCCTAGAGGAGAGGCACGAAAATCCCTTTGTGAGCTTTGCATACTACCGATATGGATCAGCGCAGGCGCATAATCCCATGGGTGTGATGCACAGAGGCCACGAAGAAGATCAACCCCAGTTCTCCAGATTAGAGTCTGCCACTCTAAACCACTACACCAAAACTGGCTCTCATGCATGGAGAATATGTCCTTGATGAACTGTCTCCAGGTGGTTATATGTTGGAGCAAAATGAATAGGTTTAAGCTTGAGACAGAATTGGTTGCCATAGATGGGCCTAAGAAAGTGACAGAATCATTTGCTCTGTATGGCTAGATTGTGCTTCCAGTTGCTGTTCACTGACACATCTGGTTCCAGGGCTGCTCTTAAAAGCTGTTTCTTGGCCTGCGCCTGGCTCAGAGTATACAAAAAAAAGGGAGAGGGGGGAAATAAGGGCTTTTCTGCATTCTCATTTTCCTTACTTGTAAATTGCCATTGCTTCTGAGGAAGGTTTCTGTTCTGCACATTTTGCTCCCTCTAGTGGTCAGTTAGATATTACATCGGTTTATGTCTGGCATAAAAACATGCAGTTTACATCTGCAGGGAAATATGCCAGACACAACTCGATGTCATATTGAATCAACCATGAGAGACAGCAAAATACATGTTGAACAGAAAACAGCCCCCAATGCTACAGGAATTTACAAACGAGGAAAATGAGAACGCAGAAAAGCTCTAATACTCACATAATGGGAAAATGAGTTACCAATGAAAAATGGGGAAGAAGGGATCATAAAGTTTAACAAAGTGAGTAAAGTTTAAATATTAGCATTTTTGCAACCTGGAATGTGATGAGAAAATGTATTGAAACAGTGAAGAAAAACCACGTTTGTATAGTAAAGGCCAATAGTGCCTAGCGATTCCTTCCCAGTAGAACTCAAATCCTGCATAAATTGAAGTCCCTTGCAATTGTACACTGCCTGCTGATCTAATTTTAATTCTCACTGGGGAAAGATTGATACAGAGGGGGTCTCTCTTTTTTCAGTTAAAGCTGAGCCTAAGCAAGAGCTATCAACTCCAGATTTGGCTCTGCATCAACAGAGTCACTTTCAAGAACTGGGAAACAGCTTCAAGGTTGTTCCTCTTCTTGCAGTGGTTCAGTCGTGTGACCGAGTTGCCTCCATACAAAAAAATCTCCCTTCACATAGTAAGCTGGCTTTTCAGAGAGGAGAGTTCTAATCTAGTTTTCTCCTGGCTGTACTAATGTACAAATTCTCCGTTTGGGTGAGCAATCTCTCATGTAAGTTTGAACTTGTACTATCTAGTGGGACAACTTAGACATGGGTGCATCATCTCCATAAGATGGTTGTAGAAATCTGTGAGTATATCTTGCACCCATAACCAGGCTTTTAAAACTATAAAATTCCAATTAATAAGAGAGGCTGATCATCCGTAATGGTTTATTTTTAAATTGGGTGTAACTTAGCTGACTCTGCAATGCCTTCTGGTAGCTGGTGGATATTTGTTTGGATGTCAGGGTTAAGTCAGATAGGTAGCTTATAATGGGGCCTCACCGCCTTCTGCCCTGACCTGCAAAACAGGTTGTGTGGTTCTTCAACCATGGTATCAAATGACCAGTTAAATGAGTTTTTGTATGAGCAGGAATTAATTCCTGAGGCTGCATTTCCCCCCAAAGCTCTGCATTTAACTGCAGGACTGACTTTGTTGCACGACCCTGATCACTGCAGACTCATATAGGTTTCCAGCAGACTTTAGTATTGCTGTTTAGCGTCATTAGTTTTTACAACAGAGGGAAAGTACAGGAGCTGGTATTTATGGCCTCTGTTTCAAATGAGCCTCCAGCTTTGCTTTCAGTCTGATTTATCACAGTGGCAAAGGGGGCTTATCAACATACAAAAAAGCAACCTTGCAAGATTCTCTGGCTCTTCAGTCTTGCCAAGAAATGGAAACTAAGGTGTGGTTCTGCAGGTAGGTGACCAGAGACAGGACAGCACTACTGAGAAAAGCCTGTCTGTTGAATGCTCTCCACCTTGAAGTTTGCCGGACACCTACTCTTATCAGCATGAAGGTGCTAGACAAACAGTGCAATCCTGAGCAGAGTTCCGCCCTTCAAAGTCCACTGAAGTAATTAGTCTTAGAAGAGTATAGCTCTGTTCAGGATTGCACTATAAATCATCTCTGCTAATCCAGGCTTTTTCATTTATCTCACAGAAACATAGAGCTGGAAGGGACTCCAAGGTTCATTCTAGTCCAACTCCTTGCACAGTGCAGGAAATTCACAGCTACCTGCCCCCCACTCCCAGAGTGACCCCTGCTCTTTGCCCAGAGGAAGGCAAAAAAACTCATGTCGTCTTGTTTTAAGGATCCTCAATATAGCTGGGGTTTTTAAAGGGCCTGCTTTTATATTCAAGTCCAGTTTATGCTGCTGGTATACAAGATGGAATTATTTTACTGTGGTAAGCCTAATTTTGTTGGGTTGTCGTGTCTTTTTGTTGTTGTTAGCCACTGCATAAATGTGCTAAATACTGTGCCCCCAGGGCACCCCTGAACTTTCTCCCATGTAACTGAAAGACTCCTACTTACTCATTGGGGGGGGCGGGCGGAGATGACAAACAGAACATGAAAGTGAATGATCACCTTCCAGTGGAGGCAAATCCATACCCCAGTGCCTCATACTGGAGGGCCAGGCCATGCATCTTACCTGAAATCCCTCTGAGCCAGTTTGGTGTAGTGGTGAAGTGCGCGGACTCTAATCTGGGAGAAGCGGGTTTGATTCCCCACTCCTCCACTTGCAGCTGCTGGATGACCTTGGGCAAGGGCAGTTTTCTCAGAGCTCTCTCAGACCCATCTACCTCACAGGGTGTCTGTTGTGGGGAGGGGGAAGGGAAAGGAGTTTGTAAGCTGCTCTGAGACTCCGAGTGAAGGGCGGGGTATAAATCCAATCTCCTCTCCTCCTCCTGATATGTGGTTCCCTCCCCATAACAGCTAGTGGATGTTTTGCCAGTTATTGCCAGTATATTTATTTCTCCTGCTTCCCTTCACCCAATATTTTTAACAGGACTATCACCAATCTAGCCAAGCTACAAGAAGAGAGAGAGGTGATTTTCAGCACCGGACTTCCTTCTTCCAGAGGTTCCCCAAATTCCAAATGTGGACAAACAGTTAAGCAGCCAAAGGATATCTTGCTCTTGACATGTATCTAATGGCATGGGCCCCCAACCTAACACCCTTTATCAAGACCAATGGAAATGACACACATTGGGCAAGCTTTTGAGGCTGCACCCTATTTTACATCATTTGGGTTGGTCTAAACAAAAGGTATTAAAAAAATTAGTTTTAGGATTTGTAATTTTTGTTGGACCTCCTAAATTCACTGGGGGCTTGGACATTTTTCAGAGGTGCCTTGATAGCCTGCCCCCGCCTCCCAACTGCTGGTATTCCAAGGAGGTCTCCCTTCCAAGTACTTGCCAGGGTCAGCCCTGCTTAGCTTCTGAGATCTGACGAGATCGGACTTGCCTGGGCTATCCAGGTCAGGGCTGATCTGTTTTATCCTCGAGACTCCAGACTAAAACTTCAAAATTTGTCAAAGGGGGGGGAAAACACACACACACTAGTATACTTTACTACAGTAAACCAAGATTTACTTTTGTTTTATTCCATCAAGGAAAAGTTACAAAACAAAATGCTCTGGTAAAATCTGATTTTACCAGTAACAAATGTCCAACAGGACATACTTAGATGCACGTAATCACAACATTCAATATATCAAACATTCTTCCTTTTTTGTGCTTGGCGATCTGACTGTGAAGCTAAGCAAGATACACTGGTACAGTACAAGAATCAAGAAATGGGATATATTCAGTCAGGATTAATTGGCTGCCCGATGGCAATTTATCATGTGGATGGTAGGTGAGGTAAAAACTGTACTGTCTGGATGCTGAGAAGTTACTACATTTAAAAAAAACCCAACCCAACACTTAAGAGGACAATCAGTTCAGTTTGGGAAAGCTTTCCTGTACACTACAAATAGGAAAATATTAACGCTTATTGACACTGGTTAAAAAAAAACACTATACAAAAATCCCGAGTCACATAATAAGACAAGTGTTATTTTGAGCGCTGCTTTCCTTCCCGACACTTGCCTTGAGACGTCACTTGCACTGCATCTCTCTATGCTTAATTCCCCCCCTCCCCACCTTGAATTCTGGAATTTACACAGATAACATTTGTCAGCATGATTGAATCAACACAGGAGAAAATCAGATCCAACTAATGCCTGGGAGAGAGACTTTCAATGTTGTGATTTTTCTTTTTCTTTTTACACATCTGCATAGTCTTTGTGTGGGCCACTTCACACATTGCCCATGAGCAGAGGTTAGACACAAGGCAGGGCTCCCAGAGATATAATCTGCTTAGTGCAAGAGAGAAGACGGGCAGATTCTGTGAGCAGGCAGGCCTCCTTGTGTAGGCTGCAGTTCACATTACAGATTTGGGGGGGGGCTCTGTCCACTACACACTAGAGCAGTGGTGGAAGCAGCTCTAATGATTCCTTTTCTACCTCAATAAAATATCCTCCAAAGGGCAGATGTTCACGTCTTGATATGTCGCCTTCACTGACATTTGCTAAACCAGGAGAGTCAAAAGCTGTTCAGATATGAATACTGATTAGCTAAGCCAGATTTTTTTGGGGGGGGAAATTGACATGGCGCACAATCTCCAGCAGAAGTTAAAAGATTTTACGTCCCATTCTGGGATTTTAAAACACTTTATTTTGATTTCGATGCTGCCATTTGTGATTTGCACCCTATTTCCCAAAGCAAAAGGTTACAAGGAAGCATACTTGCTTGCAACCAATTAGAAGTATAAAAGACAAAGCAAAAACCTATATTGACAAAGTTAGGCGACAGTTTATAGCAGGAAGGCGACTGTAAAGCTCTTCAGATAATAAAGCTTTTCTCGACTTCTCTTCAGCAGTCATTCGCCACCTAGTTTATGAACAGTCACACCTGCCACTGGAGTTATACTGAACTCAGTTTCTGAAATGAAATATTCAGTCTTGACAAAACGCCATCCATCTCAACTGTGTAGCAAAAGCGATTTGACAAGTTTTTGTAGAACTCTTAAGGTTTAGATTTCCCCCCCCATTTTGGCTGTCCCTTTAAATGGGGGGGGAGCATCGTGGGATCTTGAAGTCCACTTATCCCAGCATGCCGCCGTGTGTTACAAACAGGAATTAAACAGCATTTTATTAATCTTCTGTCTCGTTAGCATGTCTTCAAAGTGCATTCTTTGGATCACCAGGAGTGTTGCGAGAAGCTGAAGGTGATCTGGAGCAAGCTGTGCACAGGCCAACACAAGAAATCAGTTTATTACATGACGGGTGAATCCTCCCTCCAGCCACATTCTCACACACAAAGGAAAACTGTGCAGCCAAACGTTCTAGCCGTCCCACGTGCCACTCACGCCCACCGTCTTATGGGCCATTCATAAGACTAAATGCAATCATATTTTTAACCAAGTAGGCACTGAACCAAACAACTGACATCCTTACCTAGTATTATTTTGCAAATAAACTTCCCCAAATGTTCCAGAGCTCACTGTTATTAACTGCAAGTTTGCTTTATGATTAATTTGCTCCCTGGAAACGGACAACACAGTGTTGGCTGATTGTCCCAAGTGAGAACAAAAAGGAACTTTGCAAGAAAGTACCATTTTTCAAAGTAGCTTGAGCAAGAACTCGTAGGTTGCATTGATGATGCCCCAGGAGATCAGGGACCGGTGATAATTGAGGTGGGCTCCCCGGAAGAGCTGCATTACTTTCCGGTCGCGTTCCGCCCAAATCTTCATGAAGACCTTGGAGAAAGGCTGGAACTCCCCGCCAATCTGGGACTGCATGCGGGCTTTCACAACGTTCAGTGGGAAAAAGAGGAACCCCAGCATAGCCCCCAAGAGCCCCCCGCAGATAAAGTCGTTGATCAAGTGAGTCCTGTATGTGGTTGCTTCAGGCAAACACTGCTTGATAGGTCCTCTAAGGCCAAAGAACAGCGCGTTACTGGGACCGTTCCGGAGCAGAATCGGCACCAGCCCCCGATAATACTCCCTGATCCCATGTTCTCGGAGAACCCTGAATGCTTGGAAAGTGTTTGTAAATTTATCGTGGTGTTTGTAGTCCTGAAGGAGCACCTGGACACGCTCAAAGGGGGTCAGGATAGCTTCTGTTGTCCCGGCAAGCACCGCTGCCGCGCTCCGGGTCAAAAGCTCGGGTGCACTCACGTGGCTGAGGAGAAGGGAGGAGAGGTCTTCGTACAGTCCGAACATTAACGCCAGGGTGGTGCTCTTCTGCATCAGTGGAGGAAGGATTCCGCGGTACAGGTTCCTGAGGCCGTCCTTCTGCAGCTGACGTATCGCATCTCTGGTTCGCACACCGTACAGCTGCTGGCGAAAGAGGACCTTCTGGAGGGGGAAAGTGACGCCGACGTTTGTGATGGCCGCACAGTAACCACAGATGTAATGCTTGCCTGAGCTCACATTTACAATGCGGTGACCAATCTGGTCTGTCTTTGACTTCTGTAGGACAAGGTCTTCTGAATCCATCATGCTGCGCCCTCTGTCCTCACAGGAGTGCTCTCCTCTCCTCCTAGAAGAAGGAAAAAGAATAAACAAAGCAGCACACGGCTCACCTGAACTTACTGTAAAAACAAACCGAAACAAAGTGCCTAACTTGAGACCGGTGTGTTGTGTTGCTTGGAAAAGCCTTGTGGCACCTTAAAAACTAAATAAATAAATAAATAAATAGTGGCAGAAGCATTTAGGAGTCTGAGGCCACTCCATTAGATGTATAAAGTTGGCAGACGTGCAGATATAATGGTATCCAGGGTAGCAGCCAGATCTGCAGAACAGGTCTAGCCGTAGCTACCATTTAGGGTTCTGCAAACCTCAGGGGTGGGGAGAACCCCATGTTTACAGACAAACCTCTGTTGTTGTTTTTTAAAGCTAGTTTGTGTGTTTAAAAAAACAACAAAGGTATTGCATGAAAGCAGAGGTTGCAAAATTAGACTTGTGGACTTCAGGCGGGATAACTGGGATCCCACGACACACAAACACTGGTGGCGCCCAGGACCAAGAGAAGGGGCAGCAGCCAAGTAGAGAAGGGGATGGAGGGGAGGCAAGCCAGAGAGAGGAAGAACCTGGAGCTGCCCAGGGTCAGGGGAGAGGTGGGCTAGTAGTGAAGTGGGGAAAATGGAGCTGCATGTGTGTGGGGGGGGAATGGGTCCCCCTCTGTGTGAATGGTGCAAAAACGGAAGGAAGGAGGAGTTTATTACAAGGGCAATTGTAATAACTCCTCCTCCTCCTCCTAAGTTTGTGTGTTTGCGTGCATACGCATGAACTATTACAAGGGCAATTGTAATAACTCCTCCTCCTCCTCCTTCTAAGTTTGTGTGTTTGCATGCATACGCATGAATACACATATAACTCAGTACAATACCTCCTGCATCTGATGAAGAGCTCTATCTCATAAAAACGAATGCCACAATAAGATACCATACATATAGGACACCCAATGAGACCCTCAATCTGCATTCTCTTCTGTATGAAAGACTCCCGGCTGTATGCGTGTTAAGTGCCATCAGGCTGCTTATGTTGATCCCATGAATTAATGTCCTCCAAAACGTCCTATTGTTAAACAGCCTTGCTCAGGTCTTGCAAAGGGGACATGCAGCTTAAAAAGCACTGACAGGATGTCCTCATCTGTTCTTTTTCCAGTAAGTAGGCAGCTGAGCATAGTACAATCAGCTGGTGCAATCTGTACCATCTCCTCTGACCTGCCCCATGTCACGGGTTTTACTGTGGCAATGAGAACTTTACTGAAGAAGTCTAACCTTCACACAATATTCCATTGTTTTAGCCCAAGTAGTATCTTACTATGAGCACTTTCACACATTATTTATTTATGAAATTTATACCTCCCCCTCCCGGCCACGGCCGGCTCAGGGCGGCTTAAAGAAGAATAAAAACAACAATAATGCAGGTTCGATCCCTTTCCAGTGCACTCTGCAACTGGATTTTACTGTGGGAAATGGCAAAATCCACTTGCAAACAATTGCTAAACTGCATTGAAAAGAGACTGAGAGTGCATTATTCATAGTGTGTGTGTGAAAGGTATTATTCATCCCGGTAATTATTCCATTTCTCTTCTGCTACTGGATTTTCCTTTACAACAGCTGCTGAATATGCGAATCTTCCTCTTTACTCCTATGCAAGTAAGCAATATTTTTTTCAAGCACTGCACAGCTCCAAGTATCCCACAGTATCCCCCCCCACACACACATAAGAACATAAGATATGCTAATGTTGGATCAGGCCAAAGGCCCATCCAGTCCAACACTCTGTATCACACAGTGGCCATACACACTTACATACGTTCATGCATATCCTTTTTAAAATGGCCCAGTCGAAAGCATGAATGATATTCCCAAGAAAAAGATTATATAAACAAGAAATAAAAATCAGCACAAGAATCCCACTGGTGCAGAGATACACTGAATTGTGGGGGTGGGGCTGAAAACTTGATGTTCCTTTTTCTTGTTCAATATCCAATTTTATCTGCCAGGAACAACAAAGTTCATATATCAAGGTGGCTGTGGAAGGTCAGTAGTTCAGCAGTTCGAGACCCGGGTGCCGCATGATGGAGTGAGTTCCAGCTCTCTCTAGTTCCAGCTCCTGCCAACCTAGCAGTTCAAAAGCAAGAAATTGCAAGTAGATAAATAGGTACCACTTCGGTGGGAAGGTAACAGTGTTCCTTGCGCCTTGGTGTTTAGTCTTGCCGGCCACATGACCACGGAAACGTCTTCGGACAGCATTGGCTCTTCGGCTTTGAAACGGAGATGAGCACCGCAACCCTAGAGTCGGATTCAACTGGCTTTCGAGCAAGGGAACCTTTACCTTTACCTTTACCTAAACTACGCTCTGTTTGTGGTTGACTTAGGTTGAGCCCATTGAAGGACACATTGACTACTGGGTAAATATTATCATGTGGAATTTGTAAAAGTGACCAGGCGTGCATGCACATTTACCCATGGTTGGAAGACCACTTGAACTAATACTGTGCCCTTAAACAAGCAAATAAACAACATTGCAAGCTGTTTGATATCTTCTCCTGCTTCCCTCGCCTAAACAAACAGATTGCCTCAACTTTCACACTTGTTCTTAAGCAATTTCACTTTCTGACTTTTCTTTTTCCAGAGCTCTGGGTAAGCAAGTAGCTTCTTGAAGGATGACTGTCAGAAGGGGGCTGATGGGCCACAGATTCAGTTCCCATATTTGACAGACCCCGGCAAAGCCCCTTTCTTGCAGGTACAGATATAATCATAGAATCATAGAGTTGGAAGGGACCTCCAGGGTCATCTAGTCCAACCCCCTGCACAATGCAGGAAATTCACAGAATTCTGTAGAAAATTTGAAGCAAGCCAAGGAGAGGCATAGGGGTGTGGCCTGATATGCTAATGATCTGTGCTGTCAGGGGTGTGGCCTAATATGCTAATGAGTTTCTGCTGTTGGGTGTGGCCTATTATGCTAATAATGAGTCCCTGCTGGACTTTTTCTACAAAAAAAGCCCTGCTAATATTGATTCAGACCCTTGGTCCATCAAAGTCAGTACTGTCTACTCAGACTCGCAGTGTCTCTCCAGAGTCTCAGGCAGAAGTCTTTCACGTCACCTACAGCCAGATCTTTTAACTGGAGATAACCGGGATCAAACCCATGACCTTCTACATGCCAAGCAGATGCTCCATCATTGAGCTACAGCCCCTCCCCAGAAAGGTGCTATTCTTTCTGTTGGTCCATCACCAGTCAAAGAAGTTTCTGCTTCAGTTAACAACAAGTTAAGCAGGCACGACTCTCTGTGCAGCTGTCGCTTTTGCTTGGATTGTTTTGGTTCTTCTTGGCTTTTAGTCCTGCATGTGCCTTTTTCGTTTATCAGCTTTTGTGAGAAACAATTTCTGCTGTTACCATGACATTTCGATGTTCTGTTTTTTTACGCTGCATTCTTTATTTTATGCCCCTTACTAATACATTTTTAAATCCACTATTTTAATCTGGCCTTTTTATATTGCATTTTAATTTTTTATTGTATTGCACTGTATTTTGTTGTACACCATCTTGGCAGAGTGGAGAGTGGGGTTTTAATGGACTTCTGGTCGACAGAACAGCGATGGCGAACGCTCTCCTCACAATGGAGGAGGGCGAATCGCACACCAGCAGCCTGGAGGGGTGCCACCTCAAGTGACACCCCCGTGGAGCCTTTGCGATAGGCTCCAGGCCAGGGGACTTCTGAGGGGTAGCCTCTTCAATGGCGTAATGCCAGAGAATTGAGGCTCCCCTCTGCCCAGTCGCTGAGTGGCCTTCGGGCATGAGCTGGACTGACCGGAACAAGTGCCGGAGATCGAGCGGAAAGGCATATAACCGAGCGTGGCCAGAGAAATTGGCCAACAATGAACGTGAGTTCTGAATAAAAACGGAGTAGTTTGAAAAGCTCAGAGATTGCAAAGAGGGGCGCCTCGTTTGCGAATGAGCGGTTAGATACGAAGGGGGAGAGGGGAGGAAGCAAATCGAAAGTGTTCTGAGAGACTTATCTGAATTGCGAAGTCATTTGGCGAGTTTTCCGAGTTGTGGCGGCCCAGCAGAGAAAGGTTAAAATGAAGCCGGGCGGGCAGAGTTCGAGACCGGAAGAGGGAGCAGATGTCCTCAAACTCCTGGCGGATATGCTCAAGCCGGTGATGGAACAACTCGATGGTATTAACCAGCAACTGACCGTGATGAATAAAACCTTTGCGGCACAGCAGCTTCAGCTGAACGAGACGGAGAAAAAAGTGAAGCAGGAAAACGAGAACATTAAAGAGATTGACACCACAAGTAAGAAGTTGAAGAAAAGGATGGGAGAGGTGGAAATGAAGCAGAATTGTCAAGAGAA